TATATCTCTTCTCAAAATAGTATCTTATCTTCTAGAGGTCTCTTTTCAAAATTAACAAATTTAATAAAAAAAAATACTAGTTTCAAAAACATCAAAATAGTGAGTCTTGAACTCTAAATACAAACTCTCGAACTTCTCTCTAATTTTTTTTTTCTTTGAAATTATCAAAAATTGTTCATCATCATGAAAAAAAATAAGAAATTAAAACTTATAAAAGTTATTCAACTTCTTACATACATACACACGATCAAATTTATTGAAGATTCCACCTATTTAAATATTTGGTCGGGGAAAAAGAACAATAATTTCTGTGTGGTTGAAAAATTAAACATATTAATACAATATTATATACATAACCATTAAACTCTTTGTAATACTATATTAAAAAGTCATATAATAGAAGTTATACGAGCCCCAATTAAACTCCTGTATTATTATTTACTAAAATTGAGTTTCAATTTATAAATAGGTGGTACCAAGAAAAGAAAAAAAAAAATCAATTGTTGTCATGTGTCTACAATATTTACTTTTCCCTCTCCCCTCGTGCGTCCTTTCATTGGAAGGGTTATTGTGCCTCAGTTTGTCTTTTGCACAGGCTTAATCCTCTTTGCCCTTGAGTACAAGAAAACTCCAACAAGAGCAATAGCAGTTCCTGTTGTCACATGCAACACCACAGGAAAAAGGGTCATCAGAAACCTTCCAAGTTGTAGCAATTTCGGTCCACGTGCATGTGTCTTCAGAGTACGAAAAAGTTAACAACATGAACCATAAAATTTATATGAATGAAGACTTACCAATTGCATTAACAGGAGAGACAGGAGTTTGGAAGAAGATGACTGAAGAAACAATGATAACCACACGCTTCACACTGTTTGCAACTGAGTGTGTCACAGGTGACACCATCTCCAATATCATATATGAAACCTGAGACACAATACCAACAATACCAATAAGACTTGAGTCTAATCACATTGATACTGCTGTCAACTCAACTTTTAAGACAATGAATTACTGAATCTTTATACGATATTTCACTTTTTCATTTCTATCCAATTTATTCAACGTGAGACTTAAACTCATACTTGGATTCCCATCATGCAACAGTTAGAAGTTGATTACCTGTTGGTATGCATGGAAGCAGAATGCAGAAAAAATTGCTCTGACACATAACTCTCTAATATTAAGCCCTTGGCTTGCCTGCATTGGAAAGAACAGCATACTAAATGTTAGCATCTTTTACTCTTTCTCAATTTCTTATCAAGAAAAAACAAAGATTTTAAAAACATAAAATTTGTACACATACTGCATATTGCAGGTATGAAGGAGAAAACTTGACACCCTCCACAAGTAAGGCATATGGAACCAAAAACATGAAGGAAATCATTGTTAAAACTCCATAGAGATTGATAATGTCCAAACTTTCCTGTTAAATGATGAGCCACATTATCAACAGAATAATGTCAGAGAGTTCCATCAAGTAAAGCAGTAATCAGTTTCACAAACAAATTCTTAAATGGTGTTAAGAAACTCCTTACCTCTTCACTAGTCATCATTTTTTTGCTCAAAACGTTCCTTGATTGATTTGTAACGTTAGCTGCCATAGCAGTGATGAAGCCAATCCTGTTTAGAGACAGAACATGTCAAACACTTGAATCAATGCTACACCACCAAAAATCTTGGTAAATATTCTATTCTGTGATCAGTATCCGAATTATTCAACATTGTCCCTGAAGGAACTTTGAATCTGCAAGAGTTCAGTGTGGTGATTTCTTACCAATTGAAAGAGACTTCAGTCATTGATGCCAACGCCACTCCTCCAACTATTGGTATAAGGGAAGAAAACACCCAGAAAGTAGGCATCTGTTCATACATTATTTGCATTTTGACATGAATGAGTAGAATATGGTGTATAGATTAGAAGCATAAGCACTTGGTGACCTTAACAATATGCAAAAGTGCTCACATAGTTATGATTTAGCACTGCTGATGAAAAATATAATTAGATAAAAATTTATATGAATAAATAATGTGTATACCCTGATATTATTGTCATCTAATCTCAAACAGTCATATGATAAGTTTATTCACTTCTATATTAACAAACTCAAAGCCATAGTGAAGAATGACTAAGTCAGATAAAAACTAGTAAAAAAATAATAAAAATGAGTTTTTGTAAGGATGATTGGATGAATAAGAAGACAAAAATGAGAAACTGATAGAAGAGAAAAAAAAAATAAGAAAGAGAAATACTAATGAATGTGAACAGTGTTGATACAGAAGATTATCACAGTGCTTTCAACAAAAACTTAGATAATGAGTTTACAAGTCTTCTTAGTATATTAGTTGTCTTATTCAATTTTATCTAACTTTCAACTCATCTTGAATCTTAACAAAGTGTAAGTCTCATAATCTAAGCAACTACAAGATAGATAAATTTTAAAATATAATTATCTACTTCTATGAGTATCCATGTGAAGGAGAAACTTATCTTCATATTTTTCCTTCACAACTTAGAATTCCTTGAAAAATATTAAGTTCCAAAATATTTACATATAATTTTCTACATTATCAAAACATTTAAGAGTAAGGTTGAATTACTTATTCATGCCTAATTAATCATGCCTTTTGGTAGGAGTGGACAAAAAATTTACTTTTCTCAATCTGATCCACTTTTGTTGTAATCCAATCCATTTTATTTAATCTGGATTTAATATGATCTACATTATAATTCTTTTATTGGAGATCTACATTTTTAAATATGAAAAATTCCCAACCTACNGTTAAATTGAGTTGGTTCGTGGATTAATCTCATTTTAACATTACTAAAAACAATATATTTCACTTAGATCATGTATTGAGTTGGATTATTTTAGAGTTAAAAGGCAAAGACATATCATTTTGGACAAAAAAAATTGAGGCAAATTCTCTAAAACCAATAATTGAAATGTGTTAACCTGAATTTTAGGTTAAATTGGACCAAAAATTAAGTTAGATTTAAGATGACAACGAGTGGAATTTAACATAAATAGTGTCCTAATTACTACTTAACTTGCAAAATCAAAAATTACTCGTTACTTACGTGGATATTCATTTAAAAAATATCCGCAGGTATTTTAAAACTCGTGGGTATCTAGATACTCATAGATATTTTTAAAATATATTTTATAAAATTTTAAAATAAAATATAAAGTAATTATCAATATTAATATATTATTTATATTTTAATTGTTAAACCCTAAACCCTGCTTATATCTCTGTTAAGCGAATTACTGTTATACTTGCTTTGTACCCTGTGTTTCTGCTTTCCGTCCACCATTTCCAAATGAGGAGAGCTAAGCCAATCCTCCGGCCGCCTCGGCTTTGGCGGCGCCACCACCACCACCAAATACCTTGACACCTTTACGGAGCCATTCGAAATCGGCTCGCGTGTGATCACGCTGGGGACCGGTAAGATTGCGACCCTTGCAAACGGCGCCGTGGTCTTATCTGTGGAAAACACCAAAATCTTCTCCGCCGTCACCTCAGCCGAAGAAGCCGAAGACGACGCTGTACGTGATTGCTTATCTCTCACGTAAGTGCCTTTGCTACTCTCTCTTGCTCATATGCTATTCCGTTAAAAGGCGCGATGAAACATGATGAAAAACGTCATTATCGAGAGAAGCACTTCCTGCAAGACGTGATTCCGACATGGTTCATGCTTTGATACAATAACAACCACATTACTAATTAAAGAATATATCTATTTTTGTTATTGCTCTTGTTCTTCACCAATAGTGATTGTAATATATTTTTAATAGATAGTTATTTTATTATTATTTATATCTTTTATCCTTTGTAAAGTTTATATATAAGGTCAGTATCATTCGAAGTCATTTTTGTTCTTCAATGTTAACCTATATTCTTATTATTATCTTAGTGTGGAAACAACTAAAGAATGAGCAATAACTATTTAAAAAAGTATTAAATATAATTATCCAAAAATGAGTGGCTATTATTTGACTATATGCATTGGATTTTTAAAAACTCAATATAGATCCAAATAATTGGATCCAAATCTATTTCAATAGAACTAGTTTAGATTTTTTTTAAAATTTTAATGCAAATATTTGGATAAGTTTTAAATTTGTCTCGATCCTCGATTTCGTTTAATCAGTCTTTACTATCGATTTTGGTTAACTCATTTTAACCCTTAGTCCAAGCCAGATTATTTCATCCTTTAACTCAGGTCCGCTTGTCTCAACCTGCGATTCAAGCTAGTCATTTCAATCAAATTTGGACCAGTTTTAAAAAAAAACTTAGTAGGGACAACTTAGCCAAATTCAATCAAATTTTGATTGGAATTGAGTTGATTGAATTGAGGCAAATTTTGGTCGTTCTCGACTTGTTTGAATGTTGTTCGGGAATGACTCACCCAAATTCGGTCTAATTTCGGTCAGGGTCCAGTTAGTTGAATTCGGCCAAATTTTAGTCGTTACCGAGTCGGTCGAATTCAAGCAAATTTCAGCTGGAGCCAACTTGGCTAAAATTCGATTGGGTCACTCTTAACAGAATTCTACCAAATTTTAATTGGGATCGACTTTATTGACCTTTGGCCTACGCCAGCCCAACTCGACATTTGGCCCAAGTCAATTCGTCTCGACCTTTGGTCCTAGTCGGTTGAGCTCAACCATCGACCAAAACCAGTTTTTCTTGACTTTCGATCGGAGTCGGTCAGGCTCGACCATCGAATCAGATCGGCCATCTCGACCTTCGGCATAGATTAGTTCAGTACGACCTTTAGCCTAAGCCGACTTGACTGGACCTTTTATCCGAATTGGGCTGTCTCAACCTTCAGCCTGAGTCGATTTGTCTTGACCTTCAACCCGAGTCTGACCAGTTCGATCTTACATCTAGATCGACGTTATTACCTTCGTTTTGGGTCATTCCACCTTGACCTACTATCCAAGCCAACTAAAATTTAAATTAAAAATTTGGATTGAATATTTGGATTTTCCATATTTAAAAATGTAGATCTCCAATAAAAAATTATAATGTAGATCATTATTAATCCAGATTAAATAAAATGGATTTTAAATGGATTGGATTACAACAAAAGTGGATCTGAGAAAAGTAGATTTTTTGTCCACTCCTACCAAAAGGCATGATTAATTAGGCATGAATAAGTAATTCAACCTTACTCTTAAATGTTTTGATAATGTAGAAAATTATATGTAAATATTTTGGAACTTAATATTTTTCAAGGAATTCTAAGTTGTCAAGGAAAAATATGAAGATAAGTTTCTCCTTCACATGGATACTCATAGAAGTAGATAACTATATTTTAAAATTTATCTATCTTATAGTTGTGTTAGATTATGAGACTTACACTTTGTTAAGATTCAAGATGAGTTGAAAGTTAGATAAAATTGATTAAGACAACTAATATATAAGAAGTTTTTGGTTGAAAGCACTGTGATAATCTCTTATCAACACTTATTCACAATTCATTAGTATCTTCTCTTTCTTATATCTCTTCTCAAAATAGTATCTTATCTTCTAGAGGTCTCTTTTCAAAATTAACAAATTTAATAAAAAAAAATACTAGTTTCAAAAACATCAAAATAGTGAGTCTTGAACTCTAAATACAAACTCTCGAACTTCTCTCTAATTTTTTTTCTTTGAAATTATCAAAATTTGTTCATCATCATGAAAAAAAATAAGAAATTAAAACTTATAAAAGCTATTAAACTTCTTACATACATACACACGATCAAAGTTATTGAAGATTCCACCTATTTAAATATTTGGTCGGGGAAAAAGAACAATAATTTCTGTGTGGTTGAAAAATTAAACATATTAATACAATATTATATACATAACCATTAAACTCTTTGTAATACTATATTAAAAAGTCATATAATAGAAGTTATACGAGCCCCAATTAAACTCCTGTATTATTATTTACTAAAATTGAGTTTCAATTTATAAATAGGTGGTACCAAGAAAACAAAAAAAAAAATCAATTGTTGTCATGTGTCTACAATATTTACTTTTCCCTCTCCCCTCGTGCGTCCTTTCATTGGAAGGGTTATTGTGCCTCAGTTTGTCTTTTGCACAGGCTTAATCCTCTTTGCCCTTGAGTACAAGAAAACTCCAACAAGAGCAATAGCAGTTCCTGTTGTCACATGCAACACCACAGGAAAAAGGGTCATCAGAAACCTTCCAAGTTGTAGCAATTTCGGTCCACGTGCATGTGTCTTCAGAGTACGAAAAAGTTAACAACATGAACCATAAAATTTATATGAATGAAGACTTACCAATTGCATTAACAGGAGAGACAGGAGTTTGGAAGAAGATGACTGAAGAAACAATGATAACCACACGCTTCACACTGTTTGCAACTGAGTGTGTCACAGGTGACACCATCTCCAATATCATATATGAAACCTGTCATCGAGACACGATACCAATAAGATTTGAGTCTAATTACATTGATACTGCTGTCAACTCAACTTTTAAAACAATGAGTTAATAGATCTTTATACAATATTTCATTTTCTCATTTCTATCCAATTTATTCAACGTGAGACTTAAACTCATACTTGGATTCGGAACATGCAACAGTTAGAAGTTGATTACCTGTTGGTATGCATGGAAGCAGAATGCTGAAAAAATTGCTCTGACACATAACTCTCTAACATTCAGCCCTTGGCTTGCCTGCATTGGAAAGAACAGCATATTAAATGTTAGCATCTTTTACTCTTTCTCAATTTCTTAGAAAAAACAAAGATTTTAAAAACACAAAATTTGTACACATACTGCATATTGCAGGTATGAAGGAGAAAACTTGACACCCTCCACAAGTAAGGCATATGGAACCAAAAACATGAAGGAAATCATTGTTAAAACTCCATAGAGATTGATAATGTCCAAACTTTCCTGTGAAATGATGAGCCACATTATCAACAGAATAATGTCAGAGAGTTCCATCAAGTAAAGCAGTAATCAGTTTCACAAACAAATACTTAAATGGTGTTAAGAAACTCCTTACCTCTTCACTAGTCATCATTTTTTTGCTCAAAACGTTCCTTGATTGATTTGTAACGTTAGCTGCCATAGCAGTGATGAAGCCAATCCTGTTTAGAGACAGAACATGTCAAACACTTGAATCAATGCTACACCACCAAAAATCTTGGTAAATATTCTATTCTGTGATCAGTATCCGAATTATTCAACATTGTCCCTGAAGGAACTTTGAATCTGCAAGAGTTCAGTGTGGTGATTTCTTACCAATTGAAAGAGACTTCAGTCATTGATGCCAACGCCACTCCTCCAACTATTGGTATAAGGGAAGAAAACACCCAGAAAGTAGGCATCTGTTCATACATTATTTGCATTTTGACATGAATGAGTAGAATATGGTGTATAGATTAGAAGCATAAGCACTTGGTGACCTTAACAATATGCAAAAGTGCTCACATAGTTATGATTTAGCACTGCTGATGAAAAATATAATTAGATAAAAATTTATATGAATAAATAATGTGTATACCCTGATATTATTGTCATCTAATCTCAAACAGTCATATGATAAGTTTATTCACTTCTATATTAACAAACTCAAAGCCATAGTGAAGAATGACTAAGTCAGATAAAAACTAGTAAAAAAATAATAAAAATGAGTTTTTGTAAGGATGATTGGATGAATAAGAAGACAAAAATGAGAAACTGATAGAAGAGAAAAAAAAAAACATGTTTCTAAATTTCATTGGAAATTCAAAGAAAATGTCTTGTGGTTAGTATTAAAAGTGGCACCAATATCAATCATTTTCCCTGAAAGCAACAAGGTCCTGATTCAACCTCCTTACCATTCACAAATGGGTGGTTAACAAGGAATCTAAGCAGATAAGATGCTAGAAACCCCAATAATAACAGAAAAAACTTCCAAATTTGGGGTGGTTAACTAGTACCTAGAGTACTACTCATACCTAACACTGAATCATTGGACCACTTAAATTAGGTGTAGTTTTTGCCTGTTGTAAAATTTGGACTGGTCATTGACTTTGTCATGATAAAGGGTTGATGGGTAGGTCATATATTCAAAGCATAAGTTGGTATATACTGACCTGTTTGTTTGTGTTTATTTTGTATAAAATAAGTATTTATTTTATAAAATAAACATTTTTTTGGTTTTTTTTATATATTTGTTTAGTCTGCATATTTTCAAAATAATTGGCTTTTTTCTATTTCTGATAAGAAAACACTTGTTAACTGACCCATTATTAATGAAACAGATATTTTAAGGTGAAGATTTTTTATCTTAGGAAACCAAACTTTAACTGTATGATTACATGAAATCATTAACTGCAGCAAATCTAGATTCCATGTAACTATAAACTTGCATAGCATCAAGGAAGAAAATTTCAAATTTTACAAGAGAAACAGAGTGAAGACTTGAACATTACCTGACCCAAGAAAAGAGCAGAAAGAAGAACAGTAAAGAAAGGCTCCATAGCTTTGATTGTGTGAGTGAAAGATACAGCAACCTTGCAAAGACTAATGTTGGTCAAGACATTCCCTAATGTGTGAGCCAGAGCCAGTGGAAGGAGTGTTGCAAGCTGCAAACAACACAGATATGATAATAAAATTAATGCTTTGAAATGAGAGTGATGACCCCACAAATTGATGGAGCACCCCTTTTCCACCTCCCAATTCAAAGTACCTGTGAACCTCTGATGCTTGGTCTGGGGTGGAGATTGAAAGTCCAGATTAAATTAATCACCAGTGACACAAAGCCAAATTGAAATGCTGTAACTGTTGCTGGAAATGGATAGACTTTCAGAACCTAATACACAAGAAAGGAAAAAAAGTAAAGACACCCTACATTTCTTAATGTAATCCTGCGTTTGAAACTTCAAATCTATATCCAATTCTACGTGATAAAACTTTTTAAAAAAATGGAGAAGTTAGTTATCAGGTGGTTTCAAATCATTGTGTGTGTTCATAGTTTGCCAGTTTCTTCATGCCATGTATTCCAAACTTTACGTGTCATACAGAGATCTGAGAGAGCAGCAGTGATAATTTCCACACCCCAGATCCCTATAAGTGAAAAAATTGAGTCTTTTTGAATTCCAAACGGTGGATGAAAACGAAGAACCTGCTTGTTGTAGATGTTGAAGTAGATGTTCAAGAGGTACCAAAGGGCAAGCATGGCTCCTAGCTGCAGGGTCTTAACCAACTCACTAGCTTTGGCTGGTTCATCACTTCTGGCATCAGAGATAGAAGCAGCAAGGAGCCTGAAAGATGCAAGCTTGGGAGAAGAAATGAAGAAAGGTGGAGACTTTGTGTCAGTGAGGTGCAAAGGAGAAGATGGGGGCAAGGAGAAGGTATTGAAGGAGTGGAGTTGAGGAAGGTACTTTGGCCTTGGTGTGAAGTTTGGAAAGTGTGGAGTTGAAGGAGAGTGTGACAGAGAAAGAAGAGTTTGCATTTTTGTTCACAAAAGCTAACAGAGAGGGAGAATGGGGAGACCAAACAGTTGCATGAACCGAGAGAATTCACCACTTTTGGTGTGCAAATGTTGCTTCTCCAAACTCAGAGCAGAAACACACCAAACCTTACCATATATAGGAAATTGGGTAGCCTCTCAGATCGGAAAATGTTCACCTAATTCCACCAAAACGTGTTCAATATTGCCAAAACGTATTTTTCTAATTTAGAATTTGAGACAAGGATGTATGTAAACTAGATTCTGTTTCAGCTTATGAGTAATATAATATAAGATCTTCTAGTGAATAGATTAAGATAAAAAGGTCTGTTTTCTGTTTGACAGTTACTTATCAAGTAACTTCGAATAAAAAATAAGATTAATCTTATATGATAACAATGATTTGACAACAGTTTTCATGATATTTTAACATCATGTGATTGATCTACATCATACCTAAATGTTAAAATGTTGGTAAACTATCATTGTTTTTAATCTTATCTCATATGAAAGATGTCATATTGTGATAGATGATATCAGTTAAATTAATTTTATTTTATTTGTGGATTTTTTACTAATTGCATATATTATAATTTGACTTTTTTGTGGATCTTTTTCACATCAGAATTTTCAACTTTCCTAATTCCACATAGTGTGGAATTTTACAGTTTATATAGGTCTGATGTGGTGTGTAAGAATGGGACAGCCATTGCAGTAGACAAAAGTGTACTGATGTATAGAAAGATGGTCTTATAGAAGTCATATTTTATTCTAGTCAAATTTTGTAGTAAGCATGGAAAACGAGGGAAAGAAAAAGAGTGTTACTTTTTTTTTACTCATATTATTATATATAATACAATATCATACTTAAATATATTATATTTATCACAGCACGTTATAAAGATGAATCATCTTTAATGACTTGCATTTTATGAATTTTTTTTTTCTTGATCAAAAATTAAAAGAAATACTTTTAAATATAACCCAGAAGCATGAGAAAAATAAATTTTAGATACATTTCATAAGGCAAATTTCTCTTACTTTCTAGAAAAAAAAATGAACATTTTTTTTCAGAAGAATGGAAGCATGTGTAGCAGAATTTGAATACAAATGAAGTAATATTTCATTGTGATGGGAGAACTCAAATCAATACGTTTGGAAAAAAAAAATTAAACAGAATCAATTAAAATAAAAAATTCACTTTTGACTTAAAAATTATAAAAAAATTCTTAAATTTAAGTTAAACTCATCTTAATTTTCTAACCGAAATAAAAATTACATTAAATATAATGTTAAA